TTAATAGGACTGCCCAAACAGCCTTTGTTAGAGTTGTCACCCCCCGTATTAAGGAATAAGTGTGGAAGTGACTGCAAATGTGGGTCAACAGCTGCCTTATCCAATGGAAACTGGAAAAAAAATCTCAAAAATAGATGTGGTTATCATGAGGAGGGGGACATTGGGGGATACCCAATACCACAATACCGTAACAATAAATGGCAGATACCAAAATACTACATGGAAAATCGTCCAAATACCGATACCACATATTTTAATCACATTTATAATTGGTTCCACATACTTATGGCTGCTTCCATCTAGCACGTTTAATTATCCAAGGCCTTTATGCACCAGATGTCCATGTTTTTGTTGTTGTTGTTGTTGTTGTTGTTGTTTTTTTTTAATATTTTGGTAGTTTGCAAATTTTTTGCAAATTTTTACCGAAAAATAAACTATATTCGTTTAACCTTTTGGTAGGTCAACCCAACAGCTAATTAACTCCAACAAAAATAACTCGTGAAAGTGCGAAAACAAAAAACAAACCAACCAAAACCCTTTCCACACACATCCAGTGAGAGTTTTGATAAGTGAGTCTAGTCTAGCACCTCACTCTCTCAGGGGTCAACTATCTCGACTGTCTCACACGCCACGGCGGTAAGAGGCAAACTTACCAAATTTTCTCTTTTAACTTTACAAGGCGTTTTTCAATTCTCGAAACCCGACATCTAAACTCATTCTTCGTGTGATAATGTTCACCTCCTTCACCCTCTTCATAAAAAATTGCCACACAGTCAATGATGACCACGCCGTCTTCAACCTCAGCAACCTCAGCCATTATGAGAAAACGTGTAAGACCTCGAATTACCGGCACAGGTACACAGAGCAAAAAGCGTGGTAAGGTAACTTGAGACGACTCATTGTCATTGGATGAAACAACAATCACATTGTATATCATCGACCATTAAGGGACGGACCATTAGAAAACTTATGGGGGGGCAAAGTACAAAAAAAATATTCGCGCAAGGGAAAATTAGATGAAAAAATTCATGCACCCCAATTAACCCTTAAAATTATGCAGCTCGAAAATTCCCCAACCCCCCCCATAACATTATGTCTCAAGACTTCTAAATATTGACTTTTATTGACCTTTATGTCCTACTGTGTTTTGTTTTGCGTATTGTATTGAAAGGAAAGCACAAATAAATGGTACTGTAATACCGTGAACAATCTTATTTCACCGAATACCGTCAGCCAAAATGATGAAAAACCGCATACCGCAGAGCTAGATGATACCGCAATACCGCACCTTAAAATTAAAATTACCGAAATACCGCATGAAAAAAAGCTCAATACCAACAGCAAGTGGTAACGATTGCGCATGCGTCAAGCCCTCTGGGAAGTACTTGTTGACGGGAAATCGTAATGGCCGAAAGCCGTTCTGAAGCACTTTCAAGGGAGATTTTTTTGCATACCCAATCGACAACAGACATGTCTTATAGATTGGATACTTTGGCTAAGCCATGTTGAAGTGTCATGTATGGGAGAAGGACCATTTAGGTGGTTAATTTTCATTCATTTGGCTCCTCTGATGAAGCAGATAAAGCGTTCACAAGGTCGTTTGTTGTGATATGTTGATTTGTTGACATTCAAGCGGTCACGGATTTCTGGGTTATCGTCCACGATCTGCAGAGCTACCTAACATTTAGGTAAGATATACCCCTTGATTTACTTTGTGAAATGTGGAGCAGCATCATCGAATGTTATGTGTTAAAATTATAGCAGCCTGAATTCAGCATAATTTATGTGACCCCGGTATTTTTGTAGTATTTGACCCTGACCGTACAGCGAGATCCAGTTATATATCCCACACAAGCGACTAAACAGGTTAAACTTCTCTTTCGGTCACTCCGTATTTTCACTTTTAATGGTTAATTCAAGGGGGGGAAGTTTGAGTATTTTGATACTATTTAGCGGCATGAAATCAACAAGCAAATTTCCTACTCTTACAAGAAAGGCCATAGTCAGATGTTTCCTTCCATTTTCGAAAATTTTCTTTTCTGGTTTACATTGGTGCTCTATGGCGATTACTTATTCTCAGAGATTAAGAGATCGAGGCGGTGGATTGTGAAATATTATTTGCTAAAACTTCGTTAAAGATGGACAAATTTTTCTTGTCCTTTTCAACCTTGTTTTTAGATTTTTCGTTAACATGTAAAAGTATATCCCAACAAAACTTATTTGTAAGAGCATTGTTTCGGAACACTCTTTCATTCTTGAATGTTTGATTTTGCATCCAAGGGGGGGGGGGAACACTGTTGAATTTGCGTTTTAATAATCATGCACTGTAAGCTCTCAGATTCACTGACAACAACCCTCACCATTTGGAAGATGATTTTATTCTCATAATTATTCAATGATGATTTGTTTATACATACAAAATTGGCGCCTAAAAGAATTGTAATGTTATGCTTAAAATGTTTACATAATGTCTTGAAACATAACTGAAATCAATATAAAA